GCCCACCAGCAGCTCTGCTGGTGTGTGTGTCGCCCTGCTTTGCTCCGGTGTAGGGACCAGCCCCGGCTTGCTCCGGGCGTAGGGGAACGGCAGCGGTTTGCAAACGAACAGCCCGCGGTGCTGAGCACCCCTGTGCGTGCTGCGTCCAGCGGATTGTAAATGATCAGGGGAGGGAGGGATGACCTGAGATGCTGCGGAGATCTCTTGATGTGACATGTGGCTCTTTTGGCAAATCACGTAACTGCTCCTACTGAAGAGTAGTGGGACAGTAATGTTGGAGAAGGTCTGACAAAGGGAGCCCACCTGGGAGGAAAGGGTGAGAAATGCTGAAGTGAACAGCAGTACCTCTGGCTTACCTTGACTGTGATTCTGATTCTTCACAGGCTTCTTGATGTTAATAGGGAGAAGACGACTCATTTTTGTGCAAAAACTGGTTTGTTTTATTTAATGACTTCTGCTTTTCATTTGGCAGAAAGTGGAATTAATGCTTCTTCTAAATTAGAAAACGTTTTAAAACCTCTGTCTCCAGCGTGAAGGAAATTTTTTCTTAATGTGCAATTGGAGGATAGTGAAGTGATGTTCTGGGGAGATTAAGCTGCTTCCACAAGTCTTAATGCTGCAGTGGTAAAGACCAAGCAGGAGGGAGAAGGGCGATGAGGTGGTTTCGGAAGAGAACTGAATTCAGCAACATGAATTGTTGGTGTAAAAGGCTTTTGTGGAGAAGGCTGCCCTGGGAAGCCTGGATTTTAAGGCTGTAATTGGAATTTGAACTTAGGGACAGATCCTTAGCTGGGGAAAACACCGCGGTTGCTGTGGGCCCTGGTCAGTTATTCCCCCCGGGGTGACACAGCCAGTAAATCGGGTGTCCGGCTGGTCCTGCCCCCCGCGGTCAGAGCGAACCTCGCTGGCCGTGGTGAGAGCGGAGCGGAACGCACCAACCAGCTGGAACGGCTGGAAAATCCAGTTATGTCCAACTCGGAGCTCTAGATAAAAATTCACTTAATCTTTGGGTTTAGATGAGAATGTAGTAATAAAAAAAAAGCAATTCTTCTTTAAAAAAATAAGAAGCAAATGAAACCTTTTCGAGTGCAGCCTGGCCAGCAGGTGTAGGGGCTGCTGAGCTAAGGTGTCAGCATTTCGTCCCATCTCTTCTAGTCGGGTTTCAATGTTCTGATACTTGCTCACCGCCTGAAACCTCTGAAGAGAACTGGGCAGCAAGCTCAGGGCTGTGTCCTCGGTTGCAAGGAGGAGTCGTCTCC